TTGTCTTGTGGTCTTTGGCTGGTATAGAGGTCTTTATAAAACTCTCTGGTTATTTTTAGAATGTTTTGTTTATCTGTTGTTGCCTTTCCGTCTTTATCTCTCAGCTTGTATATTTCTTTTTTACTTTGAGTGAGTTTTGTTTTCATTATCTTTAAACCTTTGTTCTCTTCTACTGTTTGAGTAATTACATTAGTATTATATTTTCTTATATCTTTTCTAATTTCCGCTGAAATTCTTTTATTTAGTTTTTTATATTCTTCATTGTTTCCCTTTTTGTTCTCGCTTAGGTTTCGTTGTATTTCCATGAAAGCTTTTGTATCTTTGCTATCTTTTCACTTTTGCTGTCATTTTTCTTGCAAAATTTGAGTTGTGCGTTTCTAACCGAGTTTGTTATTAATTTATTGTAATGGTTGATACTTAGAGGTTTGGGATTATTACTCTGTAAAGTTTGGGCTATATTTTTTATGTAAGCTTCTGGATGATTTGGTGAATTCCAAACTATGCGTTTGCAACTGTTTATCATCTTTGAATACTTTGTCTTTTTGTCTGTTATTTTATAATCATATTCGCTCTTAGTTCTTCCGTCTGGACTAGCCCACGTCCATTTTCTATTCTGTTTCTTCTTAAAAAAGGTGTTAAATGCGTACAATTTGTGTTGCGGTAGAAAGTTGATAAGCATTTCACCTCTTTAGTATCTTACTCCCATTCCAAAATCTCCGATTGACACTTCGTGTTCGTCCTTTCTCCTTCCGAGTTTCCCGTTAAAATCTCTAAAATCTCTAATATCAGATTGTAATGAGTCGGTTTCTGCTTTTTTGCTCTTTCGAATTCCTCATAGATATAATGCTATTATAATGATACGCTGCATAATTCAAGAATTCAAGTCGTTTAATCGTCTGGCAATAAATGCTTTGTCCTTATAAGTTTTTTATGTAATTTTACATAAGAACAATGCTCCAGTTTTAATCATTATCATCATTATAAGTGGCAACAGGTACAAAGAATTGTACAACAAATCAACAACGATCTAGAAAATAGACGACACTGTTTGGCAGCCTTTCTGGATATAAATCAGGCTTTTGATAAGGACTGGCACACTGGCCTAATCTATAAAATCGAAAAGCATCTAAGGCATATATTGTATGGTGCGCTAGAATCTAAACCTAGCAAGACTTAGCAAGAATATTATACGTAAAATCAGAAATAACTTTAAAGTTAGTTATTAAAATAATTATTATGATCTAGAAGATAAAATACGTACGTAGAATCTGTTTTATTATAATTGAAAGCCATTCTGTGTTCTCCTATACGTTTGTTAAAGGTTCTGCCCGTTTGACCGATGTTTATGTTTGGGCAGTCGCCACATGTAAGTTTGAATAGAATATTGTGTAAGTGGATCTTGTTGTTCTTAAAGTATTTGCTGAAGTTGTTGTTTGTTTTAAAAACAAACTCGTGCTCACTTGCGAGAGGCACTCTGCCAAATGGAAAAGTTGAAAATAAACGTTTTCATATTTTTATTGTTAGATAGTAATAATAGGTATGTTCAATAATAGTATACTAAACTAATATTAAAGGTACTTTTTCGCTGAAAAAAATTCTTAATGTCCAAAGAGTAAATTGTAAATCAAGTGGGTACAAAAAAAATTATTCTTGTCATGTGACAATCCAACTAATTAATGTTCATCGACTTTGGATTGCAAGGAGTCTAAATGATTGCAGTTTTATTTTCTTTAGAATTTTCTGCTTTCTTGTCTGCTTTTTGGGTGCTAACGTTTCTTCAACTTTTTGTAGGACCTTCCTTTCTTTGCTTTTCTTGCTTGTATTGTTATCTGTCACTCTAACGAATAGAGCTTTGCTTGTCTTTTTTGTCTTTTTTTGGATTTCTCGTACAGTTTTTCCAATTTTTTTATATTATGCTTAATTTTAACTAGCTCCATTTATTCTCTACATGTTATTCCGTGTTTTTATTAAAATTTGCTTCGAAATCGAAGGCTTAGAAATGTGTCCTGGACAAAACATAGAACTAACCTCGAAATGCTTAAATAGCCAGAAGAATGGAACTATAGTACTAGAAGACCGAAGACCAAGAAGAAGATCTCCAACACGATGGGCAAACCAAATAAAGACTCTGGTAGGAAAATTCCTAAATGAAGCCGGCCATCTGGCACAGGATCCCCACTTTTAATGACAGCAATCTAACAATATGTAGAGTATCGCCATGCCCTGACAAGAGCTCATGGAATGAGGATACGAACAATTGTCCCAGTAACTAGTATTGGTGCCTATAGTTCACTTACCTGGCAAACAAGGAAACCTCATAAACAACGTGAAATTATTATCGGAAGCTATTAACCGAAGAATAACGTTTCTAAACAGAAGTTATTATGGGCTCACTCTAAGTACTTATCTACTATCTACGAGTATGAGAAATTGGTGCTTCCTAATAAAGATGAAAAAGGGCCTATGAAATGAAAGCCAAAGATATAGTTACTGCAACAAAATTTAGACACCTATACTGAGCAGGTTATCAGCTTATGAAAGCTACCCTGTAAGACGTAGATACTCTATTGGCACAACCAGAGGAAACCAGACGAAGGAATAGAGCAAGACTAGATAGCTTGAAATGGACCGACTGTGTACATAATGACGCCAGGAAAATCGGTGTGCAAACTAGAACCAAGTCGCAAAGACTAGAACAGAATGGAGAAATACACTTCGGAAGATTAAGAATCAATTATGGTGTAACAAAAATGATGATGACGATAATGATGATGATACAAATTTACATAGTACTACTTTCTTATAATAAGTATATTTATTTTCCATCTTTTTGAGATGAAGGCGTGGAGGATTTTGATAAATGTAATGAGGTAATGTACGTTGTTAAATATTTCTTCTGAATAGATATGAAATAATGTGAAGTATTTATGCGCTTTCTACTCGTACTTTTTGTTTTTATGGAGTAACATAAAATAAAAAGTTTTTTGAATTTCTAGATCGATGCGTTTTATGCTAGATAACCAGAAAAATATTATAACTGGCTTATAACCAGTTTCCCATTAGTATTTTTACGTTATCAGTACATCTAGATACACTTGACATTTTTGCAACAAATAAATTTGACTTTAATGTAGCGATATTTTCAGATTCGGAGTCTTCAGGTCTACTAAATTGTTTCTCATATGAGTTTATTGTCCTTATAGAAACTTTTAAGGTTGTGATACTCTGTATATGTCATTATACGATCACCTTCATTTAAAATTGTTCATTTAAAATATAAAAATCACAGCTGTCCATGCTGTACATGAATTACCTGATGAATTTCGTGATATCTCTAAAATATCATCTATTAATTTCGCTATTGCTATCATTAGATATGGTTTAACTTATGATATAGCCAGCTTTGGCTCCATCGCGTAGGATTTATTATTAAATATACTTTATCAGGAAAATAATTAGTGTAGACTTTTATGTAATATGACGGTTTTTGTAGTCACGTTTGAAAAGTGAATTTCTAAATATTATAATATATTTTAAATGAAGCTTATTCACACTGTAACTACTGCTTCATAATAACATTTAATATACTATTATCATCTAGCCTCAAAAGTCCACTGCTGAACTTAGGTCTCTTCCTAGTATTTCCAAGCCCATGTATCTTGCGCTGCTCTCACCCGGTCGTTACATACCTTCTTAAATCGTAAGTACATCGTGTATGTGGTCTACCGATGCTTCTCTTCTCCCTTGGTCTCCATTCCAATAATCTTTTTGTCCATCGCCCATCTGTCCCTCTAGCTATGCATCCCACCCAGCTTAACTTCAGCCTACCTATTTTTTCCATGATTTTAGCAAAATATTCTATATTATAAGGATTATTCTAGAGAAAATAATTTATTTTCTCCAAATTTTGTTTGTAGTTTAGTACATCTATTTTACAATTAAATAATTAATTCTATGGCTGGATTTTACTATGTAGATATTAGAAGGAAGATATTTAAAGGACTTAAACATACGAAAAGGAATTAAAAGAAAAGAAACAATGAGAAGAAGCTGCAAAGAATCTTTTAAATTACTACAACCACTGAAAGCAATCATTAATGAATTTATTTATTTTTTTACCATAAGTATTAATATCTAAATTTTTGTTGTTTGTGGCTTGTTACAATGTTGCAAAAAAAATGCCGCCTGAATTTAAATTTTTTTATTTTTCAAATTATCTAAAAACCGGCTTTCAACCATCGCCTGCATATTTATCTAACTAAGCCCTAAATGCTTCAAACTCGAATTCGCAAAAAAGACAATAAGAAGGAAAATATAAAGGAATTAATCCAAGAACTTGAAGCGTGCACTTCGTCCTCCACTGGTATCTTTGGAACGACGAACGTGTGTCTGAGCTAGAATCGCGGGGAACTCGCATCGCGAGAAACACATCACAGCGTTTTCCATGTACTCCGCTAGATCGCACGCGCGTCCACGAATCCAGCCGATCGAGTTAAAACGCGAAGGAGAACCACACTCACATACTACTTCAGTGTGTGTCTGACATTCGTACGCAGTTGTCACAAGTGCACATACATGACGAGCGCTGTAGAGATCGCGAATAAATCGAGCGATTAAAAAAAATTGCGGACAAATTTTTATTAAGATTTATTTTTTTTTGAAAAACATATTGTCGGTGTCTGTTAAAGTTAAGCGAAAAGTGTCAATGGATTTTTAGAACAATAAAAAAAAATTAAAGTGACTTGTTAAATTTGCATGTGTTAAAAATATTTTATAACTTTGTTCATTGTGGTGTTTTTTGTTTCATAACTTTCCTGCCCTACCAACTGGTGTGACATCGTGGCCCCAACCGAAACTTTCGCTTTTCTGTGTTGACATGTCGGTTGTTTATTTCTGGGTGCTGTAATTTAATCGCCTAACAATCATCCTTACCATCTCGGACCCGGTGGCGTGCCCGGCGCCCACCCTCTACGACCATGTGCATCCTCCGGGATCTTCTCCAGCCACCGGAACGGGGTCTTCCGCCGGGGTAGCCTGGTGGTCCATGATGAACGGCAGCCTCTACGAGGAAAGCCCCCCTCCAGCCCCCCAAAGTGCGGCTACGCCGATCAGCAATAGCGGTATGACTAGTCCGACCACAGTACCGCCTCCAGCAGCAACCACTTCGGCGACGTCGAGTTCTTCACCTGCCAGTGTCACCAGCAATAGTGGCTCAGCAGGCCCTCTTCACATTCCCGCCAAGCGACTGACCTCTGGAGGTTATGGGGACTGCGGAGACGGTGTCATACGACATGGTCATGGCCAGCCTTGGTCATACTCTCCTTCAGACAACCACCAAACGGCGTTCGAACCAACGGTAGGTCTCAACCATCATCAGTACAACGCTCCCACGTATTACAACCTAGCAGCTGACGCTTCAGGTAACAGAGATAGAAAACCACCTCTGTCTTTCTGGTCACCTGCAGCTACTGCCGCTACGGGTACTCCAGAATACAAATACAGTAGTGTATCAGCGGGACCAAGCGCAGATCCCGCTGTTTCCTCATGTCATCAGGGCTTCTCAAGCAGTTCTTGGTGCAATTATTCTCCGTACTCTTCTGCATCCAGGCACCATGTGGATGCCCACCAAGCCGTCCCATATTTACCCACAGATGATCGAGGTCGTGCGGCAGCTGCTGCTGCCATGGTCGCCGAATCTGCTTCCTTCAACCATGCCCATGATAGAGGCTATGGTCTTGGAAACTATGGACCTGAACAAGTTCCGTCTACACCTTATCCTCCCCCAGGTGAGTCAAAAGTTCTATTTACTATTAATGATAAGTCCTTTTAACTCAATAAATGCCTAAAATTTATAACTTTTACAAAAATAATCATTTTTTTAATAAAATATTTGTTTAAAATATGTAATAAGTCTGAGAATTTGTTATTATATTCTTAATAATGGATTCTCTCACTATTACATATTATTGGACTACGTTATTGCCTAATATAATTAATAATGTTGCAAACATTACATATTTCGATATTCTTTTTAATCATTTTGTAAACAAAACAAAAAAATTGCTACTAAATTTTTAAAATGTCTAGTTAAATTTATTGTCAAAATTATTAAATTTAGAATTAAAGCTGTTTTTAAACAGAAAAATTTGCAAAAATTTAATTTATGTACTATAGTTTTTTAATATGTAGATATTACTAACTTGAGTAGAGTTTTATATACTATTCTAAATAGTTTTATAAGACATCATTGTTTCGTTAGCTCTCTTCTCACTATTTTTTTTTAGTTATTTATAATTATTATAATTCAGTTAATTATCAAACAAAATTCCGTATTTTAAATTAATTTATTCTCAATGTTATTCTGAGCACATTTTTACACATCAAAACATTTCAAATGACTGTGTAGAGAGCCGTATTTCTTCGCAATGCCGCTAGATGGCCTCAGACATCAAAATCGCGCTCGGTGTCTGTTGATTTTGGAACAGCGATCGGTCGGCGAACTCCTAAGGAGTTCGTCTCGTGGGCCTGATGGTTCGTTCACAAATCGATACCTAATGGCAATTCACTTAACGAAATTTAATTCAGCAAATAATAAACAAGAACTTGCGGGTATAGGAAATGTTCTAAAATGTAATAACATGTTTGTTGGGATTTATTTTGTTATTATTTATTCAGAGTCGTAAAAAACCGGTTTGAATATTGAAATGATTAGTTAATTAATTTATTTAAAATTATAAAGAATTGGATTTTGTTAATTATTATATAATTTGCATTACTTTAATTATAATACTGTAATAATTAATAGATGATAACGCATATATACATAGTTAATTAATTTTTGATAATACTATAAGATATTTAGTATACTTAATATGCTATTTTACAGATTTCGTGTTATACAATGTGTTATTTGTATTTTCAAGTTTTAAAAATAATCTTAACAATGCATGTGTTCCTGAAACATAATATGAAACAATTTTGTTCCTTTCTTATTTTTATTTGCTAAAAATATATCTTTTCTGTTAGTTGTTTGATATTACTAGTAATATATTGAATTTTAGACAATAGAAATTTTAATAAATAACTTTTTAATTTGTTTAACACTATTTAAGAACTAGTTAATAGTTTTGTTCTATTAAAAACAAATTTATGACAACGATAGTTCATTTTTAAGAATAAAAAATTAGTCACTTATATATAAATCAGCAAATATTGCTGACCGACCAAATAATTTTACCATGAATTTACACAAAATTTTTCAATTAAAGGTATTAAATACATTTAAAAAAATATTTGTATGTTATAATGAACTTTGAATTTAAATTTCATAGAAAAGTAATAATAAGTGATCTGTTATTTTTAAAAGTACTACTTTTCTTATAATTTGCTCATTTATTTTCAAATCTTTGTATCATACTTATCTTAATCTCTGAAATTCTATAAATTTTATTAAAGTCTTACTAACCTGTTCGTTTCAACTGAGAAAAGTGATTAGGGTTTAAATCTGGAAATTATGAAAACATACAAATGTTTTAGTAGGCTTAGTTTGGGATAATATGGTTATTTAAACATACATTTGTAATGTAAAGTTTTGATCATTTGAAGAAAAAATATAGAAATGAAACTCAATCTGTACAAAACAATGATAATATTCGATTTTGCTAGTTTTTCCTGTATTATGTTGTTTACCCACTATAAAATAGAAGTATTGTAAAGATCTGAATGTTTTTGACAACAAAAGTCATGATTAGTTGCGCTTAAATTGGAAAATTAAGAACAGCCTTCTTTGTTTTGTTAACTTAAATATATGTTCCTAATGTATTCGTTAGTTTTTGGTAAATTTTTCACGTAATATTTGATTACAGAGAATAAAATAAAAAAATATTTTATTCTTAATTAACTGCTGTGCGTATTATTTTTATTATTATGTAGAAAATTATATTATTATTATGCAGAAAAAAAGCTCAGACGATTGAAAAAAAAACATCTACGATTTAGAGTTATTAGAAACGAATGTTATGGAATAGAAGAATCGTAGTAGGGCTAAGAGTGCATTTAAAGGATTTATTATTTGCTAATATATAGTCGTAAGTAATGTTCTAAGTTGTACTATATCGAAAACTTTTTATTATCAAGTTTAGGAGAACAAATTGCAACCATCAAAACTGAGTTTTTTAGTCATATACGAGGTGTATCAAAAAACTAACTATATTTTTTAACATATCAATAATTAGGATTAAAAAAGGTTTACTAGAACTAGAAACTATGTTTAGTATAATTAATATTGCATCTAAATATGTAATTGCTTCCATTTAATGACTAAAAGTTTTTTTTTAATTTTGAATTTTAATCTGAATTCTCTACAATTCAATCTTACTACTAACTAACTAAATTTTAAAGCTATCTCCACAGTATTCATTTTTTTGTTTTGATATACTTTATATAAGACTGCAAAGAAATCTTAAGAAAAATAACATTTTTTCCTAAAATTATTAATAAAAAAGTTTTTACATTGTTCCTACCTTCTGAGAAACACTGTATATTATTTTTAATAATAATAGTCTCCCGTTTTATACCGCACGCGGCTTTGGGAGTATAGCAGGGTAGTCTGCTATATCTAGGGCCTACGGTATACAAGGAAGGTAACATGGCCAGTGCTACGCTTCAACCGCCTATTATTACCCCTGGTTTTACCCAAGGTACTCATTTTATTCAGGCTGAGTCGACCTGGGGCCTATAGACATTTTAAAAATGTCTAGTTGTTCTTGCCGGCGGTAGGATTCGAACTCACGACCACCGGCATGCGAGGCAAGCACACTACCGCTTGCGCTACGCGGGCCCTGTATATTATTTTTACCAGACGTAATATTTTATTGTCCTGTGGTTTTATCTGGTTGTACTTGTGTGCTAAAAAACCAGTATTAAAGCTAAAAACCTCTTCAAAATGTTATTTTTGATATAATTAATCTGAATTAGTTTCCAGAAAATTGTAGAACAGAAAGGAACTAATTCTTTACAATAGTCCTAGACAGTAACACTCCTAGAAACTCTCTAATTATGGTGTATCGGCACAAATGAAACCTTTTGAAGCGATAGTTCTAAAACAGATTAATAACGGGTATTGCGTTTTGTCTATAAGATATTTCAGTATAAAAACGATATAGAAGAAAAATTATATAAGGCATTTGTTGGAAATAAAAACCCCAGTGACTAGAACGCACATTAAGATAAAAACCATTTGGTAGACGCAGGAAGACCACTACCAACCAGAAGAGCTGATGATGATGACCTGATGCTACCTGTGCTACACTCACAACTAATAATTCGTAGAGATTTATTTGTTTAAAGTTCCAGTGAAGCAAAAAATTTGTTTTAACTGATAATGGTCTAATAAGACAGATAACGTTCTGATTGAAATTTTAATCCGTATGGAAAATTTCATTTTTTATTAATTTTTAAAGATATACCTAAATAAAGCCAACCACTGGAATCCTTTCCTTTTATAAGTTTAGTTCTTTACGTTACTACAGCTTGGCGATATAATCTAGTGACAAAATAGTTAATCGCACAGACAATACAATATCTATGATCAGACCCATGCAGTGGCGTTGCAATATTAAACAAATTAAATTATTTGAAATCGCACTAATTACAAAATTATTACTCACTTAAATAAGAAATGGAGTTTGATTGTACATAAGTTGTTTTATAGATACCAAAAGATCATCGACGTTTATTAATTGAACGGAATGATATTCGTGCTCTAGGCATTAAATATTTGGACAAAATTATATATTACAGAAGCGAAGGTAAGTCAATTGTATATGTTGATGAAACCTATGTACATGCAGGACACACTACGCCAAATAGCTGGACAGATGACAGTGGCAAAGGATTGTTCAAAAACATTTCAAGAGGAAGTAGGTTGGTTATTGTACATGGTGGTGGGGAGATGGGTTTCATACAAAATGCCCTTTTAATTTTTAAATCAGGAGCTAAGAGAGGAGATTATCATGATGATATTAATTCAGAAAATTTTGAAAAATGAATGAAAGAACAGTTAATCTCCAATTTGCCTGTTGGATCTGTTTTTGTAACTGATGCATCATATCATAATGTACAAATTAATAAATCACCCACCAGTAATACTAAAAAAATGGATATGATATCTTAGTCGACAGAAAAAAAGTTACCATTTGTAGCGTCAATGATAAAACCGCAATTGTATGAAATCATTCAATGACACAAGGAAGATCCTATTTAATATATATATTTGACAAAGTGCTGAAAGATTGTGGACATGTTTCTTTAAAACCTCCGTCATATCATCCAGACTTGAACCCTATAGAAATGGTTTGGGCGCAAATAAAAAATAAACTTGCAAAACAAAGCGTTTATATTAAGTTAGAAGACGTAAAAGTGTTGGTGGAATAGGAATTTGCTAGAGTGACTGTAGTTAACTAGAAGAAATTGTGTGAACATGTTGTCAAGGTTGAAGATATTTGGAAAGTGAACGTCGCATAGATGTAATTACTACTGAAGAATTAAGGATAGATTTAAATGATTCTAGTGACGACGACATCTGAGTGCATCTGATTATGAAAGTGAATAATATAATTTAACACTACGATGTACCCATGTAACCTATATGAAGTTTTCCAAACTGTCCTGTATGTATGTATTATTTTTTTACTTTATTACAATCATTTCGTATATTCTTCTATTTTACTTTGTGACATTTAAGTGAGTAATAATATAAATAATAAAGGTTTAAACAATCTTTTTA